AGGCTGCAGCGCTGGAGCTGCTTGGGCTTGCAAGGGGGGCCTTTTGCCCGGTTCTTCTCCTGCGCTGGAGATGCTCTTAAAGACCTCCGTCGAGAAAATAAAACAAACTGCAGACCACTCAGACCAGAGAGTCAAGAGTAGAGAGAGAGAGAGAGAGAGAGAGAGAGAGGAAATGGGGGATTTATACGCTTTGGATTTTGATGGAGTTTTGTGTGATAGCTGTGGAGAGAGCTCCCTCTCTGCTGTGAAGGTTGTGTTTTGTGTTTGCGCATTTTTACAAGCTTGAAAATATTTGCTTGATTGATTGTTTAATTTGTTTGAATGGTGGTTATGTGTAGGCTGCTAAAGTGAGATGGCCAAGTTTATTCAACGGTGTGGATTCAACTTTGGAGGATTGGGTTGTTGAGCAGATGCACATAGTAAGTCCTCCATATAATAATTACACAAATTTTATGTATATAATGTATCGTTTCTAGACTGTCGGACGTTAACCCGTGTTTGAATGAAGAAGGAATAATGAATTATGGTGTGGCAGGTGAGGCCTGTGGTGGAAACTGGATATGAGAATCTGCTGCTTGTGAGGTTGCTGCTGGAGGCGAGAATACCTTCTATACGAAAGTCATCGGTCGCGGAAGGGATTACAGTGGAGGGGATATTGGAGAAGTGGTCAGAGCTGAAGCCTGTGATTATGGAAGAGTGGGGTGAGGAGAGGGATGCTCTTATTAATCTTTTTGGAAAGGTCAGGGATGAGTGGATGGATGAGGACCTAACAACTTGGATTGGTGCAAATAGGTATCCAATTCAGACTTTTCTTGCAAAGGACCCATTTATTCATATACAAAAGACAATATCATTTTAAGGTTGTTTGATTTCAGATTTAATTTATTCTTGTTTAACATAAGGGTTTTTATCTCGAAACGTCCATGTGGTTCACGAAACTATTAATCCTTTATGCGGGGTTAACATGAACGTCAAGGACGTTTTGTGATTGGAAAAAAACCCCTTAACATAATTCTAGTCTCTTCTCAAACTTGTTGGGACTGGGAGGCTCAATGCATATCTAAGTAGGAGATAATTTGCTTGCAGATTATATCCAGGTGTTCCTGATGCTCTAAAATTTGCAAGCTCAACCATATACATTGTCACCACAAAACAGGTGAGATTATCTTTGTTTTCTCTTTCTGACACAATCCAATTAAAGACTGAAAATGTTGTGGTTTCTGTAAATGTAAACTTTTGCCCTTTGTCATTCTCTCACTTTCTTATTTCCTGTTCTTCTTTCACCTATTGCAGAGCCGATTTGCTGATGCTTTACTGCGAGAACTTGCAGGAGTTACAATACCGCCTGAAAGAATATTTGGTCTTGGAAGTGGGTTACTGGAAATTAACTTGATTTCAATCTGTGTTTGATTGTTTTGGTACTTATACCTGCGGTTGGTTTTCCCTAATGTGGAACTTTACCCTTATGTATTGAATTCCTCTTCCAGTCCCAAGGTAGAAGTATTGAAGCAGCTTCAAAAGAAACCAGAACATCAGGGGCTGAAACTGCAGTAAGAAACTTTTCTGCTTCGTATTTGAATTTTTTTTTATAAGATACTAAATACTCAGAATTTTCGATAATATACGCTCAACATTGACCAGCTTTGTCGAAGATCGACTGGCAACCCTAAAGAATGTGATCAAAGAACCTGAATTGGATGGTTGGAATTTGTATCTAGGTAAAATTCTCCCTTTACCCTTATCAAACACAGACTCTTTAACTTGTCTATTATATTGCTGTATATGCTTCATTGTGGTACTCATTCGCTGCGGTTGCTAATTTGGGATGAATTGGATCAGGGGATTGGGGGTACAATACACAGAAGGAGAGGGAGGAGGCAGCTACAATTCCCAGGATTCGGATCCTTGAGCTTTCTGACTTCAGTAAGAAGTTGAAGTAGCTTCTTTTTCGTACTACTATTCTTCTTATTCCCTATCCAGCTGTGAATGTATTAATTCATTTAAACTGCAAACGACAAACTTCGTTGTCGGAGACTTAGAATCTTACAGTCAGAAATTTTATGTACTTCCTCTGTTGTAATCTGTTGAACAGAATTTGTCTCCTTTCAAACAAAGAAGCTGAGTATTATTGAAGTTGCAGGTGACTAACTGGGATATCTCACACAGATGCGAAAATGGTAAGTAGATGGCCTACCTACTCTTGAGCAGTTTCTATGCACTGGTTCCATTAAAATAAATAGATAAGAACAGAATCTCGATAAATAATCATGTCTACAATTGTCATTTCGCATATCAGTCAGCTTTATCAGCAGCCTATAATCAACTTGAATAGTAATACATGAATATTCGGAGTGGAGGTTGCTATGGAGTTACAAAAATGGTCATTATATTGTATGTCAGAAAACTTACAACTTACAAGTATAGCTACAGTTCCTCTTTCAAATGCCTATTGCTCTCTGCTGGACTGTCATTCTCCACTCTCTTTTTCTCATTCTGGAGCTTCTCAACAACTTCCTCCAAAGGAGGATCTCCAGGTCTTCGAAAAACTTGATCGCCAATCTTTGTTTCATAGGCCTCGGGTTGGTTCAACTCAAACTCCTTCAACTGGAGACTAGAGGGAAAGAAAGGGATAAAACTCAAGACTTCAATCTTTTCTCTTTGTTGTGAATAGCATTCTTAAGAAACGAAAGACATCTACAATCATTGAGCAATTTCTCCAGAAAGACACCAAGGAATCTCATTCTCTTTGATCTGGGGGCTAAAAGACACAAAGTGGGGGTGAAAGAAACATACCTCTGTCGTGTCTTGGCCTCGTTCCATGTTGAACGTTGTTCTGCAATTTTTATCTGTCATAAAGCACATCTCATAGCCAATCCATAAAAATTGACTTCCTACTTAATAGGTGCTCTCTTGCAATTGGCTCTATCATTGAAACCTTGATTCCAAAGAAGCGTAATTTCTTTTTCTTTTTGTACATTTCATGACTTTTGATGAATTAGTGCACAAGTTGTTCAAATTAATGTACATGTCTTTTTGTATAAATAGAAACGCTAGTGCTGCGAGCAATATCCTCTCCCCTGTTTTTGCTCTGTTTTTTCCTTCTTCATTTCTATTGCTATTTCCTTGTGTTTATGAGACTGAGATACTTTAACGCCCAATGTAGAATACAGCAAACTCGAGCGGGCCCAATGTATCATCAATTTCTCTATTCTTCTGTTTTAAGACAAGTATTTTCTTTCTTACACAGACGAAACATAATGACATCTGTTAACTCAAATTCCCTTGTTTTATTCATAACAGCAATACAGTAAAAGGCAATTTTGTCTACATTTCCTACATTGCGAAAGAAAAAAACATACACCATGAGGTACACAAGAACATCATACCAAATAGTTCATGGGAGAAGTTCCCGTTAAGTTCTTACAAATAACAGCACAACTAATCTACTAAAATAGTTCCTTTATTTCAGTGAGACCCTTATCATCACTCAAATGCTTGAAAACTAGTACAAATAGGAGTCCTTCATCGCATCCATCTTCAACTGAAGGGAAGCATGTCGTCTCAAAGGTGCCTGCCTTAAAGACAAAGGTTAAACAACCCATAAAATTGAAAAAGATAAATCACATAAACTAAGGGCCCATTTGATAATCATTTCAATTTTAGTTTTTAGTTTTCATTTCTTATGTTCAGTAATATCTGCATGTATATTCGGGGTTAAGAACAACTAACTTGCATAATTTAATTTCATAACTAGTATGTAAGAAAGATAGAAGTAATTACCATTTATTTATTAATGATCCTTTGCCTGATGATTTCTGCCTTCACGTACAGCCAATCATTCAGAAAGGTCAAGAAATTGAAGTACATGTATCTGCATGACCTGTTGAGCAAAAGAGTGCCACAAACTCCCCAAAATCCAACAGCAACCCCAAGCTCCATGCTGATGTAAAATCCTTGTGTTATGAGCCCATCTTTTTCATCTTCATTCACCAACACAGGTTGTCCTGGACCTTTTTCCTCCTCAGAGCATATCCTTGGGAGTGGTTCTCCACAAAGTTGAGGATTTCCACCATAAGCAGAGTTAAAGGTTTGGAGCTGAGTGCCTATTGGAATTTTTCCAGACAAGTAGTTTTGTGACAAGTCCAAGTAACCAATACGATATATCCGAGAAAGACTTGTTGGAATTCTGCCATTTATCTGGTTTCTTGATAAATCAAGAGATTCTAACTCCTGCAAAATTCCAATCCTTGAAGGTATTTGACCTGTTAATTGGTTTCTCGACAAGTTTAAAGAAACCAAACCAACAAGATACGTGATTTCAGTAGGAATCTCCCCACTCAACTTATTGCATGAGAGATCAATACTCTTTACAAGTCCCAGAATACTTTTGTATTTTGACCTTACTCCTTTCCATGTTAAAGATGCTTCATCATCATAAGGAGAATCATAGAGTGATTCTCCCAACCAAAAATTATTGGAATGTTCGATACTTGGACTTGAATGTCCATTTTGAGCCAAAGTAGTCCAAGTGTTGAGACATTTGGGTATAATTCCAGAGATGTTGTTTATCGACAAATCCAAAATTTGAAGTTGTGTAAGATGGCATAACTGTGGCGGGATGCTCCTATAAAACTGATTAGATCGAAGGATAATGACAGTCAAATTTAGCAGATTTTCCCCTAGCCATTCAGGTATTAATCCTGATAATTTATTTTCCCCAACATCAAGAAGTGTCAACTCCGTGCAACTCTTCAATTGTGAAGGCAACTCTCCCACAAATCTGTTATTATTTAGGTTTAGTGTCTCGATACTAAACAAGTATCCCATCGTGGCAGGAATTTTCCCAGATAAAGAGTTGTTGCTCCAATCAAGAAAGACTAATTTGTGAAAATGGTTCCAGCAATCTGGAAGATCTCCGGATAGATGGTTGCTTGAGAGATCAAGATAGGTTAAATTACTCTCCTCGGTTGTACTTGTACACAAAAATGAAGCTGACCCTGAAAATTTATTATTGGACAGATCTAGAGTGTATACGTTTGATAGGATTGAAGGGATTGGACCCTCCAATTGGTTCCAACTTGCATTTAAATAAATAGATGCTAACTCTGATCTCAAATTTCCTCTAATTTGATTGCAAGACAAATCCTTATACACCAATTTATTTCGCAAATCCCAAAACCAAGTTGGAATGGTATCAGAAATGCCAGCATCAGAAATATCCAGCCAGTGATAACTTTTCTGAGTTCGAAGCCATTTCGGGAAATACGGCCCCATCTTACAAGACCCCAATCTTATCTCATGCAATTGAAAGGGAGGAACCCAATCAAAACTGAATTTTAAAACTAGTGAGTTAGAGGATAAATCCAAAATCCTTAATTTGGAGAGTTTCGAGAAATTAGTTTCTGAAATTACTCCTTCAAAAGAATTCATACTCAAATAGATAGTCTCCAGATTGGACATCTGTCCAATACTTTCAGGTATTCTTCCACTCAATTTAGTTTCCGAGAGATCAAGATAAACAAGGTTGGGCAACCATTGGAAGATTGATGAGTTAAGATTGTTTTTGTAGAGATCGACATGAACAAGAGATTTAGAAGAATTCAAGAGAGAAACAGAGGATATAACTGGAGGAGGAAGACTACAGCCCCATAATGTCAAGTTTGTTAGTTTAGGAAGCATATTAACTACTTGCAGCCAACCAACAACATCACTGAGATTAACGAAACTTAGGTCCAAGTATTTTAGACGAGAAAGATTAGAAAGCCAATAGAGATTTTTTGCATAAATAGAATAAGTAGAGCCAAAAAGAGAATCTTGGTACCCAAGATCGAGATAATGCAAGTTTCTAAGGTTTCCAAGTTGATATGGAATTAAACCTCCAAAATTTGCATAAGAGAGATCGAGGTGTCTTAAATTGCTCAGAGATCCAATGAAATCTGGAATTTGGCTCCCATTGAAATTACTGTAATGAAGGTCCAAATATTCCAAATGCTGCAACTCAATGAGTTTAGGACTAATCTTACCTTGCAAAACTTGGAATCCAAGATCAAGCTTAACAACATGGCCAGTTTGTTTGCTGCAGTGGACTCCATCCCATTCGCAGCAATCTTTGTTTTGGGCTTCTCTTCCCCAGGAATCGAGGGGATCGCCGTCGTCAGCCACGAAACCTTGTTTAAGTGCAAGGAGTGCTTGCCTTTCCCTCTCGCGGCATCCAGTGCAAGGATTGTTCATGTGCAGTAAAATCACCACCACAATTGCATAGAGGAGTTTGAAGCAGCACCTTACTCCAACCATGTTAGTTAGAGTCATGATCAAGACGAAGAAACACAAGTATTCAGACAAAGATAAAGGCACAACCAAAACTGGTGAAGTATATATGCTTGTCTGATATCTCAAGATACAAGCATTAATTCTGTATTTATAGCCTCAACTCCTGTACAATAATTCTACAATTATTCTACTAATAGAAGGGAGACGTTCTCCCGTCTTCACGAAGGGAGACTTTCTCACGAAGATACAAGCATTAATTGTGTATTTATAATCGTTACCAACTCCTGTACAATAATTCTACTAAAACACGTGGGTGAGTCTTTGCGAAACTTACTTTCCTCCTAGTGAACTACAGTGTGAACCCCTGAAATTTCCACCGTTTGTCAGAAGAAGTAAATTACCTTTCCAGTGTGAACCCCTGAATTTGAGAGTAGTCACAAATAATAGTGATGAGTAAACAAAAGCATTCAATTGTCACCCATACCAATTAGTTAGTGACAAAAGAGTGACTATTGGCCCCTTTTTTTTTTTTTTTGGTCTAGGATTTTTGATGTATGGAAGTGATTTTTGATGGAAGTCATGTAGGGGTTAATATGATAGTTATGGACTACGAGTGATATAAAAAAACTTTAAGGACGCAATCTAATAATTTAGTAAATATCAGAGACATTTTATGATAAAAAGCCTAAATCATCTTTTGCCATCCGAGTTACTAAAAAAATTAAAATCTTTGTTGCCATTAACTGATAAAAATCCTAACTTTTATTCATTCACTAAACTGATCTTTGTTGCCATTAACTGATTTTGTGTTATCTTTTAAATCTTTTTATTATAACCTCGATGAAAAGAGGGTAATTTATTTATGAACAAATCAATACATAGATGGGGGACATAAAGCGAAACTTGAAGAACAAAACAAATAAGATATAAGTAAATGACCAATACATCGATGGGACATAAATTTCTTCATTTGTGTATTGTCATAGCTTTCCCTAGAAGGTTGCATAAATGATGAAATTTTATCATGCCTTGCTGCATTTTCTTGCACATGGAAAGCTTATTAAGTTGTCCATAAGAACTCTAAAAGTTAACAAGTGCCCAGCTATAACAGCTTCAATTACAGTTCATATTAGGAATATTAACTAGGTTCATTAATTATATTCCTGCGCATAGAGCCATATATGAACTTTCAATATGTCATTGCCTTTCTCGATACATGTTGGATCATTAACTTGAATGGCATTTTATGCATTATTATATCCATTCAATGGGTTGTAATATTGTAGCATTTCAGATACTTCCATTTCATTTGAACTTTGTATGAGGTTTCCATTTCTTCGTTGGTCTTGAATCAAGACTCTTGATTGTTTATTTTGTTGTATTACATGTGCTTGTCTGATATCTCAAGATACAAGCATTAATTGTGTATTTATAATCGTTACCAACTCCTGTACAATAATTCTACTAAAACAATTGATTCACGAAGGGAGACTTTCTAATGCACCAAACATGGGTGAGTCTTTGCCAAACGTACTTTCCTCCTAGTGAACTACAGTGTGAACCCCTCAAATTTCCACCGTTTGTCAGAAGTAAATTACCTTTCCAGTGTGAACCCCTAAATTTGAGATGAAAATTCCTTTAAGAGATGATGATGTTGCCTCTTTTACGTCAATATGCAGAGAATAGCTAGGTGCTGACAGGAAATGCGTGTCCTCCGAGTCTCATCTTGGGTTCACCTTGGAAGGACATGCATGGGCCAATTCACAGTTAATCACTCCCAGCAGAAGGAAAATTTCTCCCTTGCGACAAGCCAAGATTCGAGTACTGACACCAAATTTTCAATTTTTTGAATAACCTAAAGGGGTCTATTATTAGGGGCATTGACAAATCAGTCCAGATTCAAGGTCCAAAGAACAAAAAAGCTGCAGGTCTAAAAAATTGAAAAAAACGGTTCGCATACGCAATGAGTCTTGTATGTCAGCATTAATTTTGCACCCTATTTACATCAATGCCACTGGGGAATGATACATACAAACGCTGCCATATACTTTTCCATTTTGAGATATATATATATATATATACGCATTCTTAGCACTAGTGTTAGAGCATTCAAAGTGGGGGGGTGTATGTTAAATATACACCCCGAGTCACCGGAATCATCTCCAATGGTGAGATGTAAATGGATGTAAATATACATCATCACCACCATGGGGATGTAAAATAAAATGTATATTTACATCCATTTTTACATCCCTTGCAGGCGGGACCCACCCGAGAAAAGAGAAGAAAAATGAAGAAAAGTCAACATAAACGGCTGGGACCCACGGCTACACCCCCGAATTTACACACCCCCACTGGAGCAAAAAACATATTTACACCCCCCGGAGGTGTAAATAGGATGTAAAAGTGGCTTTACACCCCCGAATTTACACCCCCCCACTGTGGATGCTCTTATAGATAAATATTATACAATTTAATTTTTATAAACAAATTCAAAAAAACGAGACATTTAGTTATATACTCATTCTTAGCACTAGTGATATAGGTAAATCCTACACTTTTTAATTTTTATAAACAAGCCCAAAAATTGATAGTTGACCTTATTAAATTTAATTTTGATTATTAAATTACTTTAATGCTCTATTGAGTGTTTTGGGGTTGAACTTATTTTAAGAAATCGATGTCAGTTTTGTAATTTATAAAAAGTTCGAAATCTCTTTGTTATGTCGTAAATGAGTTTTATGTGTGTTTCTAAAGTCCATTTCATGTTGAGTTTTTTAATAATTTGGGCCTCTATATTGGATATAATAGTGAATCGCCTAACAACAAACTATTGCCAACTAGGGATGGAAAAAATCCCCGTTGGGTCCCCGACCTAATAGGGGGAGATTTAGGGGCAAAACGGGTATTGGGTACGGGGATCTCCTAACTTAAAAAATCCCTGATGGGTATAGGGCGAGGATGGTATTGGCGTCCCCGTCCCTGAACCCGACTCGAAAATATATATGTTTATATTCAAATAAATAAATATATAATTATAATATTTATGTTTACCTTAAGTTAACCTCCCTCTCCTAATTCTTCTTAATATATGCTTATAATTAGGGTATACTAGTGATTTGCCTCCTGAACTTGTACCTAATTTTTGATTTACCCCCTATCCTTTTTTTTAGAAAAGGATATGAACTTCTATTTTTCGCCAATTTCCCCCTTACCGTCTAAATCATCAACATTTCATCCAATTTTATGTTAAATCATTAAAAATAAATTTATTTTTTAGAAAAAATTAAAGAGAAAGATAACCCAAAAAACAAAAAACAAAAAAAACCTATCCCCACCCACAGACCCCCCTCTGTCTTCCCCACTACCCAGCCACCATTCCTTCTTCTCTCTCCTTCCTTCGACAACAACCAAACCTACCCTTCCTCCCTCTCTCTCTCTCTCCTCTTTTCCCTCTTTCCTCGACAACAAATAAATCTTTATCTCCACCCTATTTCTCTTCTGCCTCAATATTTTTGAATTGTGGAAGTTGAAACCCTCATTGCTTACAGCAAAAACAATCAGAAAGCAAAAAAAAAAAAAAAAAATTTGTGTATCAGATATCAAATATATGTTGTGTTTTTTGTTCCTTGAGCTTAGCTGAGAGAGAAGATGGAGGGGAAGGATGAAATATTGGAGGTGGGACATAGATCTCGGTTTTTCAGGAGTTTTATGGCGGTGGTTGAAATCTGGGAGTTGACGACAACCCCTAGTTGAATTCCTCCATAAGCTTTTCAAGCTTTTCTCAGTTTTTCTATCATCTCAGTTAGAAGCAACAATGGAGGTTCATTAGAGGATTTGTGGGAGAGTGAGAGAGGAAAAGAATGAGAGAGTGGGCTGGAGAGGGGTGGATCTGTAGGGGTTAAGTCGAGAGAGAGATAGAGAGAGAGAGAGGGGTGGCAGGTGGCCTTTCAAAAAATATATATATTTCTATCATTATTATTTTGAATTTTAAATTGTTTTATTTTATTTTAATATAAATATGACCAATTTGCCCTCATATTTAACGGCAAATTGGATGAAATGTTGAGGATTTAGACGGCAAGGGGGAAATTGGCAGAAGAAAAAAAATTTCATATCCTTAATTTTCTAAAAAACAAGGATAGGGGGCTAATTGAAAGAGAGGTACAAGTTCAGGGGGTAAATCACCAGTATACCCTTATAATTATAATGCACCAAACATGGGTGAGTCTTTGCCATCCCAGTGAACTACAATGTGAACCCTTGAAATTGCCACCGTTTTCCAAATGTAAATTACCTTTCCAGTGTAAACCCCTGAATTTGAGATGAAAATTCCTTGAAGAGATGATAATGTTGCCTCTTTTACGACAATATGCAGAGAATAGCTAGGTGGCTCCCCCAATTGAAAATTTGTTCTGTTCCCATATTATGCGCATGAACATGCAAACACATATACGTCATATATTGATAGGTCACGTTCGGTGTCTAGGATTGGATTGGATGAAACAACTTAGTAGAATCAACACATCTTGAATTAAGAAATGAAGTAGAGATGAAAGATTTTTACAATTTGTGGGGATTAGAACGGATAAGCTATAAAGTGTTAGTGTCATGCCATTTTATGGGGATTAGAAGGACAAACTTGCTTCATGAAAACATTGAATGTAAATTGTAATAGAATTATAAAACTAATTGAGAATGTAAAAGTATCTTGCGCAATTTCTCCAGCAACACTAATGTCTTTGATCTGGAGGCTAAAAGACAGAAAGTGGGGGTGAAAGAAACATGCCTCTGTCGTGTCTTGGCCTCGTTCCATGTTGAACATGATTGTGCATTTCATAGCAATCTCAGCTACCGTATCCTGCGAGGGGAAAAGAAGCCCTTACTAACTCGAGGCCTACGAAATAAAAAAAGTTATTAAAAAGTTAGAAAAAAGAGTTTTAAAAAAGTTTTTAAAAAAACTCCCAATATAGCCGACCGGCTATACTATTTATTAAAAAAAGTTTTAAAAAAACCCCTAAGGACAGCCGAGCGGCTATACTATTTATTGGAAAAATTAGGGTGTATGCAGAGAGGGCGGATGAGGGAGCTAAGGGGAAGAATTTGTGTTGAAAAGGGATGGGAGAAGTCATGGGTTAATTAGGTTAGGTTTTTCTTATAAATAATTTTTTTAGTTTTAAATATTTAAAATATTTTAGTTAAACAAAATTGACATAAATGCCCTTAAACTTAATGGAAAGTTTAACAGAAATAGACGTGGGTGATACATTGCAACACTCTATAGAGTTTAGGTGGTTAATAGTAAAAATTAAAGGTTCAAGTGGTAATCACGCACATGCCTAAAAGTTCATGTGGTATTTATGCAAATTTCCCTAAAAAATCAACAACAACCAAAAAAAAAACCAGTATAGCCGTGCGGCTGTACTATATATATATTTTTTAAAGGCTTTTTATCACAAATGGTCCCTGAGATTTGCAAAATTATCACCTTTCGTCCCTAACTTTTTTTTGTGACACTAATGGTCCTTAAGGTTAGCATCCACACATCAAAATGGACCATGCCGTTAGTTTTCGTCAAATTTTCTATTTAAGTGATGATGTGTCACATGTGTGGAGTCCACACATCCAATGGTGTAGAGCCACGTGGCTTTATATATAATATAATATATTTTAAAAACTTAAAATCCTTAAAAAAAATAAAATTAAAAGCAACTTAAATCTTTTTTTTAATATATTTTTTAGAGTGCTGCTAAACGAACCCTAAAATTAACTGAGTACACCCTATGATCTAAGTACACCCTAATATTTTAATTAAAATGTAAAATTAACTAAGTACACCCTATAGAACTACCACAAATACCCCTGATACACCCTAATACTTGTAGCATTATTTTATAGTTGATTTTCAGCTTGATTTTTTTAATAGTGTTTATAAATCTTTGACTTTTCATATGGATTTATGCTTCTACTAAAATTGTTGACACTTTTTTTGCAATTACAAGTTCTTGCAATCACCACCTCTTTCGTTAAAAACACAATAGGACAAATGGGAAATTAAATACAAATTATCTCATAACATTTTTTGTGTTGGAAGAAGCCAAATGAGCAAAAAGCCATCATAATTACCCATGCACGAAGCTGAGACAAACGCATGGAGATTTATCCATGGCTCCAAAAATAAAAATAAAAAGACATGCTTTTGGTTGTTCAGAGAGGGTCTAGGTAAGTCAGATTGATTTTCATATTCATAAAGAAACTTTGACTTTGACTTTGATTCGGTTTCTTTTATTATTGTTGATTGGGTAATTAGGATGATAAAAGATTGTTGGAGCATAAACACAAAGAACAGGAAGAAAGAAACAGCACAGACGATTGCAAAGGGTTGGAAACCAAGTAATCCAAGTTGTCAAGAAATAGTTCTGAGAAGAAAGAAGGAAGGCTTCATCTACTCCAAGCCATTCTGACTCGCGGATCACAAAGATGGGAATCAAGTAATCTCTTGATTAGGGTTGAATATGGTTAATAAGGTGTACTTATTAAAATTATATTTGTTTCATAATTCCACATATCCTTTTTGGTCATTTTATATTAGGGTAAATCAGTAATTCAATATATTTTTTTGTAATTTGGTGTACTCAGTTAATTTTAGGGTTCATTTAGCAGCACTCATTTTTTAATATATTTCTCTCTCTCCCTCTCCATGTGTTCTCTTTCCCTCCCCCCCAGACCCACTCCTCTCTCTCTCTCTCTAAAAAAAATTAAGTTGCTTTTAATTTATTTATAAAACCACGTGGCTCTATACCATTGGATGTTAATGAATTTTAAGTTTTAAAAAATTATATTATATTTAAAACCACGTGGCTCTATACCATTGGATGTGTGGGCTCCACACATATGCCACGTTAACAATTTAACAGAAAATTTAAACGAAGCTAACGGCAGGGACCATTTTGATGTGCAGAGGGTAACCTTAAGGACTATTAGTGTCACAAAAAAAACGTTAGGGACAAAATGTGATATTTTCGTAAACCTCAGGGACCATTTGTCATAAGAAGTCTTTAAAAAAAAAATTAAGAAATGGAAACCCTAGGCTGCCCTTTTTTTTTTGGTTAAAAAAATAGTATAGACCTGAGTATAGGAGGCGGCCAAATTTTTTTTTTTAATAGGAAAAAATAGGCTATACTATTAATTTCAAATTAAAACCAGAGTATAGCCGAGCGGCTATACGCCTACCAATCATTTGACTTCTGATGCCGATATATAATTCCCACTAAGGATGGCAACCGGCCGGTTCGGGGACGGGTATGGAAATACCATCCCTGTCCCCGCTCCCCATCCCCTCACTCGTCCCCGCCCCAATCCCCGATAAGAAATTTCGGGGAATCCCCGTTCCCGTTCCCTTCGGGGGGTTGTCTCCCAAACTCGCCCCGAATCCCCGGTTTTTATTTATTAAAAATATACTACACTCAATTTTGTCACCAAAAAAAAAAAAAACTCAATTACATTCAATTAAACCATAAAATTCAACTTAACTACTTAAAATCACATAACCAATTTGACAAACTAATAGAAATCATATATTCCACAATCAAAACTAAATATTTTGTCGTAAAATTCTTATTTTACTACTAAAATTAACAACAACAAAATAAATTAAAGACCTACGAAAATAAAAGATAAAAAAAACAAAAAAAACTAGTAGAACTATAGCACCAACAACGTAGCTTCATCAGACAATATGGAATCGAAGGAGGTTCTAATAACGGGGAGAACACATAAAAAAAACAATTTCCATATGTTTCTTGGTCAACCAAGAAAATCATGAATTGTTTCCTATTGCTTTATTGAAATATATATTCTATATTCTATATTCATTAATTAAAAAATTTATATATATCACTAATCGGGCCGGGTTCGGGGATGGGGATAACGATACCATCCCCAGCCCATCTCCAACCGGGGATTTTAAAAATTTAGGGATCCCCATAGCCGCCCCCGATTTTCAGCGAAATCTTCCCCCGTTAGGGGCGGGTACCCGACGGGGATTTTTGCCATCCCTAATTCCCACTAATGGTCAAGGTATCTTTGTTTTCATTAAGATTTCGACTTCTCTACCTTCGGTGGTCGTCGTCACCATCAGTCCAAATCTAAAGCCAAAGCACCCACCAGTGCAATAAAAAACAACAATCAACTACGAAAAAACAAAAACAGAAAAAGAACTCACAGAAAATCGTAATGGGATTAGATCTAGAGGAATATGATCGCAGAATACAACGACGACGAAGTTGTGATGGGGCCAAAGTCAAAGGATGCCCTAAGGAAGCTAAGACATTAGCTATAGAATTGGCCTTCTTCACATAAGGTAGATAAGTGAGACATGTCTGCATTGAGCTGCGCAATACACCACGGCACAGAGACGCGCCCGTTTAGTATTTAAAGAAATAAATAAAGTCCACTATATTTTTTTTTAAAGACATAAGTTCACTATTTTTAACTTAGGGACCTCCTTTTTGTTTTTGTTTTAATTATATGATCCCTTCCCTCTTAAGAAAAATAGTGAACTTATGTTTAAAAAAAGAAAAATAAATAGTGAACTATTTTTTTTTTGGGAGGGGTCGGTCACTACTTTAGTTCAATATGATGCTAATCACCTGCATTATGAAAAAGTAACTACTCATGTACCTGTATTTGGAATTATGAAAAAGGAACTACATTGCAGTTTTACATTTAATTATGATGCCATGGGGGTTGGAACATGAGAAGGAAAAAACCCAAAAGTAGCGAGCGACCCCTCTTTCTCAACAAAACCTGTAACCACTGTATTCTTTCACTACTGTAGACAACATAGATGAGAAGAAGAGCATGAGAAGCAGAGAAGAGGTATAAGAGGGAGATAGTCGGTTCAGTTCGGCCTTCAAGGTTACTTTACTTGACCTACAAGGTTACTTGGGCTCCAAGACATGATGTATGTGTGCCTCCTACGAGGAGAAGAGTACATTCAGAATTACCCAGCACTCTCTCTTTCAGATATTATCTCTGATATTCTTTTCTTCTAGCTAATGTCGTAAGGAAGGAATTTAAAAAAATAAAAGGATGAGGATGAGAATGTCCTCTCTTAGCTAAAAAAACTTCAACTTAATTGTTTTCTTTGTAGATATGTTGAACGGTAATATGATCAAATGGCAGAAATAAGTGCCAGATGTCTTGAATACTTGTTCGAATGGACCAAGGGACCAAAATCTTCTTTATATGGATTTGAACTAAAATTTTGGAATCACCTTCCAAGTTCGGAAGATGGAATCATGGGATATTGAAGCCCAAGTTAAGGCATGTTGTAAAGCTAAAGCTTCCGCTTGTGATACAAAAGCAAAACCAAGAGGGATAGATCCAGCAATGAACCCTTTTTCTTTTGATGTAACTCCATTCCTTTACTTTAAAAAAAAGTTAAAGAATTAATACCCCAAAACTCATTACATGTTCCCCACTAGCTCACTGTGGATGAAGAAACCCATGGGTTTGGGATACAGATAACAAAAAGAAGAAGTAAAGGTAGCGTCTCAGTAACAAAACAAACATCTTCAACTTAATCACAATTCACATTCACGTTGAAGGGAGTAGGAAACTGCTTCGTGAGCATGAGAGGCCTGACATATAGCAAGAGAATAAGAGCCCAATTCTTTGAGGCTCTTTAGTTTATTTGCCTCCTATGGCCAATCGACGAATCTTTTCTTCTTCTTCTTCTTCTTCTTCTTCTTCTTCTGTCACTCATGATTCATGGACACATGAGGTCTTTCTAAGTTTTAGAGGTGAGGATACACGCACCAATTTTACAGATCATTTGTACAAGGCCTTGTCCGATCAGGGCATCATCACCTTCATTGATCGTGAGCTTACAAGAGGAGAAGAAATGTCCCCAGCCTTTCTCAAAGCAATTGAAGAGTCAAGGTTTTCTCTCATTGTATTCTCTGAAAACTATGCATCCTCAAGGTGGTGCTTAGATGAACTTGTCAAGATCCTTCAGTGTAAAGAACGAAAGCAACAAATAGTTTTGCCCATATTTTACAAGGTGGATCCGTCCCATGTACGAAACCAAACAAAAAGTTATAGAGATGCATTTGCTGAACATAACTGCAGATATAAGGATAACATGGAGAAGGTGCTAAAATGGAGGAACGCTCTTAGAGAAGCAGCAAATTTGTCCGGACATATTTTCAAGGATGGAGAGTATATTTCTACCCACTATAGTGCATATATAAATATCATTAATTTAGTGGCTTCTATATTTAATTGCGAGGTTTATGGTTAAAATTGTTACTCATTAAGAAAAAGTGTAGAAATATTTTTGCTCACCACTTTAACTCAAGTTGTACCTTTATCACAATTCTCAACTCTTGACACGTTTCCATGGACATGACCATAGTTAACTCTTTATTTTTATTTTATTTTTAATACAAGTGATTGGGGGAGGGGGTTTACACACAAATATTCATTGGGTGCTTGGGGGTCGAATCTTTACCCACATGAGTAGGTGGAAGAATTCAACCAACTAAGCTATACCCATTGACTAGTTAACTCTTTGCTTTGTATTTGTGGAACCATAGTTATGCTCATGGACACATGTCAAGTGTTGGGAAGGATAGTGATGATATACTATGAGTTAAAGTGGTAAGCAAACATGCTCCCGATAAAGTATTTCTTTGGTTATATTTAATTGTTTTGATGAAAACCGAAAACAGTAGGGAGAATTTTTTATTTTTATTTTTATTGGATAACTGTAAAGGAGGAGAAGATTCAAAACCAAAGGCGTACTAGCATATATGATACATAACATTGTATACTATATATACTACACTATTAGTTTCCAATCAAAGAGAGAGCGCGCTTGATAAAACTAGTCAATATTGTGAGGTTTATGGTTAAGTGTAAGTTTGATTCACTAACTGCGTCAAATTTTGTTAAACTTTGTAGGTATGAAGCTACATTTATCAACGATATCGTTGAGGGGATCTTAATCCAAGTAATGAACCGGACATATTGGAATGTGGCCAAGTCCAGTTGGAATTCAGTCTCGTATACAAGGTGTGGAAAAGCTTTTAGATGTTGGTGGGAAGGGTCGTCGCATGGTTGGGATATGGGGGACATCTGGAATAGGCAAGACAACAATTGCAAAAGTAGTTTACAATGCAATTGCCCACCAGTTTGAAGGAAGTTGTTTCTTGGTAGATGTTAGAGAAAATTTAATGCCGCATAATGGAGGATTAATCCAACTGCAGGAGACTCTTCTTCATGAGATTCTAGGTGCCAAAAGGTTGAAAATTGTCAGCGCTGATAAAGGGATGAATGTTATACAGAAACAGTTGAGTCATAAAAAAATTCTCTTAATTCTTGATGATGTGAATCAATTGGAGCAATTAGACAACTTGGCTGGAGTTGGTTGGTTTGGTGAGGGAAGTAGAGTCATCATAACTACACAAGATAGCGGATTGCTAAAATGTCATGGAATTGAGTTGATATACAAGGTCCAGAAGTTATGTGGCGACCAAGCTCTTGAGCTTTTCAGTTTGAATGCCTTCGGAAGCAACAAACCTCCAAACGATTATTTGGAACTCACACAACGTGCAATAGCCTATGCTCAAGGACTTCCACTAGCTCTAACGCTTTTAGGTTCCCATCTTCGTAATAAAGGTGTACATCGTTGGCAAGCTGTATTATTAGATGGTTACGGAGGAGATTCTTACACAAGTATTCAAAAAATACTTAGAAAAAGTTATGATGCCTTGAAAACTTCCGTGCAACAAGTTTTTCTAGACATTGCATGTTTCTTCAAGGGTGAAGATAAGGACTATGTGCTACAAATAGTAAGCAAAGTACTCATTGAGAAGGCAATGATAACTATTCAAAGCAATATGATTTTGATGCATGACTTGCTAGAACAACTAGGTAAGGATATAGTTCACGAAGAATCTTCCAATGATCCTGGCAAGCGTAGTAGACTATGGTTTCACCAGGATGTATTCCAAGTTCTAACAGAAAACACAGTAAGTATAATATATGTTCCTATATTCAATTTGACAAGTAGTACCTTATGTGACCTATAATTTTCTTAACAAAATGTACTTGCATTTTGGTTTGAAAAACGACTCGATATCTTGGTATTAATACTTTTCCATCTCAGGGTACAAGAAAAATTAAAGGTATCATGGTGAAGTGTCCAAAGCCAAATGAAATACCCTTGATCTTGAATGAAAAAAGCTTATCTAGGATGGTAAATCTTGAAATTTTCATAAACCCTAATGCAGTTCTATCTAGATGCATTGACCATCTGCCCAACGAGTTGAGGTTGATTGATTGGGGTAGATGTCAGTTACAATTTTTCCCATCCAATTTTCATGCAAGGCATCTTGTTGTATTCAATATGCCTTGTAGTGATATTAGACAATTAGAGATATTTAAGGTACGTACTTCAAATTATTTTCATCTATTATTATTTCGAATAAAGTTGTTATTTTCACGACACAAATTATTGTTTTTTTTTTTTGCTTTTGTTTTTTTTTTTTAAAGTTTGGGATTTGATTATTTCCTATGTCATGTTTTTGTCTCACAAAATTGCCCAAATGTGACATCTATAAATTTAAGTGGGTGTGAATTCTTAGAAAAAATCTCTGACTTATCTGGAATCCCAACCATAAAGTTCTTGAATCTAAGTGAGTGTACAAGTTTGGTTGAGGTTCATGATTCTGTTGGATTCCTTGATAAACTTGTTAAGCTGGATCTTAGAGAATGCGTTAAGCTTACGAGGTTCGCAACAAGACTTAGATTGAAATCCCTTAAAAGTCTTTGTGTTCGTAATTGCCAAAGGCTTGAGAGTTTCCCAGAAATAGAGGACGAGATGGAATGCCTAACGATTTTGAATATGGATGGAAGTGGCATAAGGGAACTGCCTTCATCAATTGTAAATCTTACAAGGCTTCAAGAATTGAGAGGTGATCATTGTGAGAACCTTACAGTTACGTCATTAGGTAGTGTATGTGGATTGCAACACCTCACTGATCTGAGTTTCAAAGGGTGCCGAAAACTCCTTACATTCCGCGATAAGGTGAAGTCTGAAGTTTCATCCAGCAATACCAAATTACAGCAGCTTTTAAGTAACTCAAACATCCCATAAGCGCTTCCCAGCCTGCGTTTTTTTTTATCTCCACGGATGCAATTTCTCAGAAAGTGATTTCCTCGTGCCTCTTGGTTGCTGGAACGCATTAACAGAACTTGATTTATCGGGAAACAATTTTGTCACGCTTCCGGGATGCATTAGCAACTTTGTCAACTTGTTGATTCTTAGATTGCATGGTTGCAAGCGGCTTCGGGAAATTCCAGAAGTGCTTCCACCAACAGTAGCTTGGTTATACCTGCCTAATTGCACAGCATTGGAAAATTTTCCAAAATTGACCCAGGGGGTTTGGTGGCTGGATTTGGTCAATTGCTTTAGACTACGCGGCATCGTTACAGAAAATATTTTTCTGAATCAGGTTTCTGTTCTGTAATCTCTCTCTCTCTCTCTCTCTCTCTCTCTCTCTCTCACTCTCTCTATCAATTATTTCGTTAACATGATTATTACTGTAACTAAGTATTCTATTCTATTAATGTAGCTACCACGTTCTGTATCCAAAATTATACTTCCAGGCAATGAAGTCGAAATTATACTTCCAGGCAATGAAGTTCCAAAGTGGTTCAGGTGTTGTAAAGATGCAACCGTAGTTGAAGTAGATCTTGATTCAGATGAGGAACGCGTTGCTGGATGTGAAGTTTGTTTTGAAATTCCTCCAAATGTAAAATGGCAGTCGACCTTAAGTTTACTTCTATGTGTTAGTTATCATGATCCTTATTATTTTCATGCCAAGATTCTTATCAATGGAAAACTCATCAATGAGATATGGGTTAGGGATGAGGATCCAACAGAGACACAGGAAACTCATATGTGGCTCAAGTGTATTTCATTATCAGATTTGAATCCGCAAGGGAAAGGAAGAAAGACGCCAATGCAGCAGGGTAATACTAATACGTATAGATTTCAAGTTATATTTAACTTCCCAGACCCAGATGGAGGGCCGATAGGCTTTAAAACCTGCGGGGTTCACCTACTAGGCCACCAGGTACAGGTTGACGATGATGAATGAATCAACGACTAGTGATGGGAAGAAGAGGCCTCGTGGATCAGAAGAAGAGCAATGGCTTTGCTCATCATCTTCAGAACCAACGGATCAGCCAAAGCAGAGACATATTGATATTGATGAGGACCAAAAGTATGTAAATTGATCCATTAAATGTTGAATGATATCTTTGCATTAATATTTTCTGGTCATATTATCTACTCTTTTTTTGGTTCAATTCAAATTTAGCCATTAATATTTTGCTATGCATCTCTGTTATATGTTGTAGCAAACTTCAGTCTCTGAAATTCTTTTTCTCAGGGCTCTACATTCGATATTACATTTTCAGGCAACGCAGTTCCAAAGTGGTTCAAGAGGTGTGGTGAATAGATGGCCTACCTACTCTTGAGCAGTTTTTATGCACTGGTTCCATTAAAATAAATAAATAAACACAGAATTGCGATAAGTAATTATGTCGGCTTTATCAACAGCCTAAAATCCACTTGAATGGTAATGCATGAATATTCGGAGTGGATGTTGCTAAGTTAGAGAAGGGGTCATTATATTGCATGTCAGAAAACTTACTGGTATAACTACAATTCCTCTTTCAAATGCGTATTGCTCTCTGCTGGACTCTCATTCTCCACTCTCTTTTTCTCATTCTGGAGCTTCTCCACAACTTCCTCCAACGGAGGATCTCCAGGTCTTCGAAAAACTTGATCGCCGATCTTTATTTCATAGGCCTCTGGTTGGTCCAACACAAACTCCTTCAACTGGAGAATCGACGTAAAGAAAGGGATAAAACAGTATAAGAACAAAAGAAAGCAAAAGCTCGTGATCCACAATAATCAGGTCATCACCCAATCAAAGAAACTCATGATCTGCAATAATAAGCTCATCAATTCAAAAAAGCATGCTAAGCAAGACATGAGTTTAATTGGCATGCAACACCTCTCTTATGGAACAGGTAAGCCATGCCCAAGACTTCAGATTTTTCTATTTGTTGTGAAAAAACATTCTTAAGAAATGAAAGACATCTACAATCAAGGAGCAATTTCTCCAGCAGGACACAAGGGAACCTCATTCTCTTTGATCTGAAGGACAAAAGACCCAGTGTGGGGGTAAAGAAGCATACCTCTGTCATGTCTTGGCCTTGTTCCATGTTGAACATGATTGTGTTTAGATCAACACCCATGAATCTTACCCCAAGAGCTCCAGTTCTCAGAACTTTGGTCCATTTCATAGCAATCTCAGCCACCGTATCCTGCGAGGGGAAAAGAAGCCCTTACTAAATTTGCCATTCATTCGAAGCCAAATTGAAAGCCTCAATCAATTACATAGCAAACCATCAAAAGTTGAAAATAAAATATTAACAAAGTCACTTCTATTACCTATAAAGCCGTTACATCAACTTAAGCTCATACTTAACATCTAAAACAAGAGATTACAACAAGAACTACAAAAATAAAGATATAAGTTTATAACAAGTGCTCAATTCATGGTTCCCAATCTACAAAAAGTGTTTTGATAGTGCATTTTGGGCAGCCTGCAATTTGCAAAACTAGTACTTATCAGTAGATTTCCACACATTAATCCACAATTTCCAATTTTAACCAAATTCTTTCACATAAATGTTCAAGTCCAATTCCAGATCAAAACAACTTCCAATCAACTTCTCAATACTCTTTCAATTCAATAGTGAACGTTTGATCCAAATTCATGCTCAAAATACTCGTTTCACTGATTACACTAAAACTATCATATTGAGGTTCCAAACTACGAGTTACTATATCAGAGCCAACATAGAAACTAACCCAATTCAATTCAAGCTGAAACCCAATAAGAACGCAAAGGGGAAGAGCAAATTCGGATTACCCGAGTCCGTTTGACGCCCAGCCGGAGCTTCACAAACCCGAAAGCCGGGCCGGTATGCCGCTTCATCATCTCCGCCTGGATCTCGGACATGTCCATTTTGGACAAATCAGGGGGCGGATCGAAATCGGAAGAGGGTGTGGATTTCTTGCCCCATTCTTTCCAAGTATCGTCCTCTTCGTCGTCTACGACGTCGTCCAGGTCGTCAGTGATGTGGACTCTCCGCTTACCTGCTTCGGCGAACTGAACATACTCGCCATTTTGGGAAAAGATAAGGGGTAGAATGAAGAAGAAGAGAATGGCGAAGAGAAAGGGAAATGGTGGTTTTGGGTTTGGCATGCTTTGTGTGAAGTGAAGATTTGGGAAGGGGTTCGGAAAGTGTTGGGAAAATTGTAGTTTGGGTATATATAGGTTTTGACATTTGAGTGGCATGAACACTTTTTTCTTTCTTTTAGGGGGAACATGAACAACCTTTTATCCTTATAAAGGAATTGTCTCTTTCCCACTTTTTTTTTTTTTCCTTTCTTTCTTTTTGTTTGGGTAAAAAATGAAAAAAGAATGCCAAGACATAGGGTCCTTCTCAATATCAAGCCTTCCTAGCCAAGGCACTTTGCTAATTCTAATGATTTGTTGGGACACATATTAGCCAACAAATTTGTTAGGATTAGTAATGTAAGGTTCACGAATCCCTTATACGGACTTTTCATAAGGTCATCTAGAATTATGAAATATAACATCTCAAGAGACGTGTGTAATTCTGAGCATTTAGATTTTACTATATGTACTTACAATGTCACTTATGGTACTTTTGTTGTTATATATGCCAAAGCTTGTTTAGGGCTCATAGTTAAGTCTATGATTGTTTGCTTTTTGAATAAGCGTATTTCAGTAATGGATAAAATGAACGGTTTGGATCGTGAAATGATATTGTGGAGTGATTCCAAACAAGTGGTTAGTGTAGTAATAATTAACTTACTGACTGGTTATATGCTTGAGTGATACTGTATTTATATTGCAATATGATTATGAGAGAAATGAGTAAAAATATTAACTTAGGTATATGTTTTCTTCTTTTTTCAACCTATATATATATGACTCTTAATACTTTTTTGTTGTTGCCTACACTATATATATATATATAACACAGCTGAGTTCACACCAGAAACACTCAAGTCCAAACACAAAGCAAGTAAAGCACAACAGAGAAACCAAAAGCAAGCAAAGCCCCACCAAACAAGAACACACCGCAATCAACAAATAGATAAAAAAAAATCAAGGATATACCAATTTTTTTTTCTTCATTGCTCGTCATGGATCTCAATGAGCTTGTGTGTCTTTCTTATTATCTCGTTGTATAAACTAATCCATCTCTCCTCTAGATGTCTACAAATAAGAGCGCATATCCAATCCAAGTGTCCTCCTGCATATCAGTTGCATGTTTGGTGTGGTGAAAATGGAGATGATATTACCATATTTTGTTGTTACCAATTGTTGGCATTGGTGCTCTGCCTCATCAACTAGGGCGCTGAAACGATCAAAGGCAGGCGGTCGGGGTTGGTGAATCTCCCGAGCCATTGCTGTAGCCCCTGCCTCAACGTTTACACTTGATTGTTAACATTTCCTTAGCATCCAAAACTGGTTCCTTTCCTCAGTTTTTTTTGTAACCAAAGTGAGAGAAGCCATGGTGAGCTTATTGTTAATTTGTTTTCTGAAATTAGTAGAACCTCTACAAACTAGTGGTTTTCAGCCTTCTTTGACATATATATATATATATTTTTACTGTGTCTCCTTCAAAACAGAGGCTAAATTAATTATGTTCTCTGCAACTGCTTCAATGCCTTTTGTCATGTCACCCCGGTGGCTAGAGAAGGCTAGGTGATTTCTTTTCGACCTCATGTAATTTACACAGTTTCTCTTGTTTACCCTTTTTTTTTTTTGTGGAAAGTGTTGTTTAACTATAGCTAAGTCTTAAATAAAAGGTGAAGCTTAAAGAAGCTGGACAATCGTAATCACATTATCTTTCGCACTTTCTCCTTGTTTGATTGCTAAGAAAACAGAGGAAAAGTTGAAGATATGTGCTATAATCTTCTCCTTATTTGAGCAAGTTATAATTGTGGATCTTCAATTGATCTGGAACCTTATCCTATCTTCCTTTGGATGGAGGAAAATAACTCGAGATATAGCTAGAAGTGTGTTTGTACCTAATAAATCCCGGTCGTACACTAATCAAAGGAGTTTTCCCCCTCGGCCTCGACACCTATTCGCGATCCAAAACGCGGCGTTTTTGCCTTTCTCAAAACAAAGGAAAAGTTGCGAAGGCATAGTCATCTCGGCCTTGCAACCACGATATCATCAGGTCGAGGCCGAAGGACGAAGGGGACACGACCGAAGGTATTAGAGCCAAATCATCACATGGCAGCAGGGTCCCACGCTTCATTTAATGAAGTAACGCCTCTGACTAGCAAACCCACTAGCCGCAAAAAAAGGGCATTTAATGCACGAGGGAAGAAGGGAAGTGACTAAAGTCAGGATTTGGTGACAGAAATCAGAGTGGTTAGGCGCAAACATACTTACAAATATTCTTACAAATTGAGGTCAGATCACCAACCACCAAACAATGGCATTAAATGCGTCCCCACGGCCAGAAGTGCAGAACCCACGATCAGGGCGGCGGCCGAGATTTACCAGGATTCATGGGGTCACACCACCATGCTTCACGATCCCAAATGTCGATTGGACTACCCACTTGCTCTGATCAGGCTCCACCATGCAGATTTTCAGCCTCGATTACTCCTCCAAGAGCTC